AAACCGCTTTTACAGACTCCGCAGTGGCAGGTCCTCACAATCATCTCAAGGTATTATGCATGATACAGACTAAGATACGGGAATCATCGCTGCAACGATGATGAACCAACTGTACGTATTAGTATATGGATCGTATAACATAATCAAACCATCTGTTCCAAAGTTTGCAACAATTAGGCGAAAGTGAAGAAGCGGAACAAAAGAGTGATTATGCAGAAGTGATACATAAGATTAGGTGGTTATAATGAGCAAGGCAGCAAGTTTTGAATATTTGGTCGAAAATGAATTTGCAAGATAGGTGTAGACAGTATGCTGTAGAAATAGTGAAATTTCAGTTCTAATACTCGCACTCTTGTTCTACATCTGTCATGCAATCCACAGCTTTCAAGTAAGCTGGCTTCGCTGTACGTGTGTCTCACTGCAATAATTGTTGCACTAACGATTTTCATACCATCCGCTCTCTGCCGCGCAGGACAAACGCTTTGTACCAGCCGAACCTGCCGCGCAGACCAAATGCCCAAACAAACTCTTTTCTCCGTCTAAGGACAGGAACGAAACGGAGTTAAATTAGTTCACTACAAAATTGATTTCCATGTTGAACAAATTATGGCACCACATTTTGTATATAACTATCTCAATTTCTCTTTCTATTTCTATCATTAATGAAATGTGAAAGTTTGCAGAACTGAAAATTATTTTATTTGAATTAACTAAGTTTAGCGATCCCTTTCTGCCAGTTTTTTAGCACTGCAGAGCTAAAATACGGAAAAATCAATAAATCGATAGAGCCTGTTACGGTAAGGAAGCTTGCTGACACCCGCTCCAAGTCGAAGTTTAAGTGTGCAAAGTTCTGTCCAAATTCCATGATTTTTTTCTTACATTTTAGGTCGGTCGTAACAAAATGCCAAGCAAAAAGCGCCGAAAATCAAAAAATAAAAGTGCCAATCGATGATTTCCAATGAAAAAGCTTAGTGACTCCCGCCCTACCCCAGAGTTTATGTGTGCAAAGTTTCATCCAAATTCCATGATTCTTTGTACCATTTCAAGCCGGTCATAAAAAAATGCTTTCAAATATTATACAGGTGCTAGCTGGCATACCCGGCTCCGCCGTATGTTCCGAATAGAAAATTCCATTTCTTAACCGATCCGAACCAAACTTGGCACACATACACTTCGGGCCCCGGCGGGTGTCACAGTCCACTTTTCGTTATCGATTGATGTCGATTTTATCGATTTTTTGCAAAATTTGAGCTAGGGGCTGGGATTTCGCACAGGGGGGGGGGTAATCGAGCATGCTGATTACGAATACAATATTAGTTTTTGAAACCGTGCATTACTTTTATCGATTTTATCGATTTTTTGCAAAATTTGAGCTAGGGGGCTGCAATTTGGCAGAGGGGTGTAATCGAGCATGCTGATCACCCCTGTGCCAAATTGCAGCCCCCTAGCTCAAATTTTGCAAAAAATCGATAAAATCGATAAAAGTAATGCACGATTTTGAAAACTAATATTGTATTCGGAATCCCCATGCTCACTTACCCCCTGTGCCAACTCCCAGCCCCGTAGCTCAAATTTTGCAAAAAATCGATAAAATCGATATCGATCGATGACGAAAAGTAGCCTATGACACCCGCCGGGGCCCGAAGTGTATGTGTGCCAAGTTTGGTCCGGATCGGTTCAGAAATGGAATTTTCTATTCGGAACATACGTACAGACAGACAGACAGACATACAGACAGACAGACAAACAGACATTCAGCTTTATATATAAGAATTAGTGTCGATGTCTTTGAGTGTTTCGACTTTCCATCGAAATTATTTCGTTACTTTCGATCCGAAGGTCAAGTAAAGTTTTCATTGGTACTATGCCTTCCTTATGAAAGTGTAGAATTTTTGGCATCTCTAGCTGGCATACCTGGCTCCGCCTTTCCTGTGATAGGTTATAGTGTAAGAGCAGCGCTAGGCGCTGGAATTTCATCTTAACATCTAAGTCTACAGTAAACCAGCGCTGACTCATCTATTTCAGGGCGTGGTCGCGTCAGCAACTTCATGCTAGAGAGGTTCCGATCCCAGCTCGCGAGCGGTGGCGCTCTGCTCATCCTCGGGCGGACGTTTGCCCCATCGTCGTAGCCGTCGTCACCAACCGAGGCCCTAATGATACTCTTGGTCTAATCATATACTGCAGCCTGTGTGATCTCCAATAAACTGCTTCGTATTCTGGTGTTACGACAGCTGTATTACTCTAAGCCGTTTCCACTGGGCTGGGCTAACGCTCACTATAGTGAAGTTCAACATTACCTACTTTTATACAAGATTCCCCCGTTCCTTTCCACTTTCGTATGCTAAATTCCCTCTCCCATTATGTTTTCGTAATCAGCACGTATACTTACCCATCTGTACCAGCTCCCAAGCTTGTAGCTCAAAGTATGGAAAAACCCGTACGACCGATACAGGTGATTAATGACTCCGGCATTTTACTTTGTAAGTATGGTTGTGCTTCAATCATATCCTTGGCTATCGATGCTTATCTTGAACTAGCTGGCTTACCCGGCTCCGCCGTATCCGGACCAAACTTGGCACACATACACTTCGGGCCCCGGCGGGTGTCACAGTCCACTTTTCGTTATCGATCGATGTCGATTTTACCGATTTTTATCGATTTTTTGGCAGAGTTCACCTACAGGGCTAGGAGTTGGCACAGGGGGGAAGTGAGCATGGGGATTCCGAATACAATATTAGTTTTCAGAATTATCGATTGCTTTTATTGATTTTATCGATTTTTTGGCAGAGTTCACCTACAGGGCTAGGAGTTGGCACAGGGGGGAAGTGAGCATGGGGATTCCGAATACAATATTAGTTTTCAGGATCGTCCATTACTTTTATCGATTTTATCGATTTTTTTGCAAAGTTTGACCTGCGGGGTTGGGAGTTTGCACAGAGGGTAATCGAGCATGCAGATTACGAATACAATATTAGTTTTCAAGATCGTCCATTACTTTTATCGATTTTATCGATTTTTTGAAAATTTGAGCTAGGGGGCTGGAATTTGGCACAGGGGTGTTCGAGCATGCTGATCACCCCCCTTGGGGATGATCAGCATGCTCGATTACCCCCCTGTGCCAACTCCCAGCCCCCTAGCTCAAACTTTGCAAAAAAATCGATAAAATCGATAAAAGTAATCGATAATCCTGAAAACCAATATTGTATTCGGAATCCCCATGCTCGATTACCCCCCTGTGCGAACTCCCAGCCCCGTAGCTCAAACTTTGCAAAAAAATCGATAAAATCGATAAAAGTAATCGATAATCCTGAAAACCAATATTGTATTCGGAATCCCCATGCTCGATTACCCCCCTGTGCCAACTCCCAGCCCCGTAGGTGAACTCAGCAAAAAAATCGATAAAAATCGATAAAATCGATATCGATCGATGACGAAAAGTAGCCTATGACACCCGCCGGGGCCCGTAGTGTATGTGTGCCAAGTTTGGTCCGGATCGGTTCAGAAATGGAATTTTCTATTCGGAACATACGTACACACAGACAGACAGACAGACAGACAGACAGACAGACATACAGACAAACAGACATTCAGCTTTATATATAAGATAACTCTGTAATGTGTGAGAGTCGAACTGCACATTAGCGGCAATAGGAAGAAAGAAACGCGGAAGATGGAAGCGTGGGCGAGCGCACGTAAAGTAGCAAGAATTTGATGATGTTCACTCCTATGGCAAAAGCAGCCAGAGGCGGCTACGCACTGCTGGCGGCTGCTACGGGGCTGCTAAGTATGGCGCGTGCCTAAAGGGCCGGGCATATTTCACGCGATTTCAGTCGCGACGCGATTTGGCAATTCGCCAGAAGTCTTCAGATCCAACACTAGCAAACTGCACATGCATAGTGTTAACTTATGTGGATTGATAAGCCCTATCTTCTGTACAATTAGAATGTGCCTACAATAAGTTATGGACAGTTGAAATATTGCCAAATCGCATCGCGACTGACATCGCGTGAACTATGACCGACCCTTAAGGCTGAAACGCAATCGCTGCGACCGACCCTACAACAGAACCGTGGCGGCATGCGTACTCTGCCGCAGAGCAAAATCCAAAGCAAGTGAGGCTTTCCAACAGGAGGTATGTAAGTTTCCCAACTTTTCGACCGTACTTGTTTCTGGTCAAAGTTAGGCCCCGCACTTGCGCAAAGGCGTGTCCAAAAGTGTCCACTTTCGGATGGCACTGAGATCCAAAAACCCCCAACCTTGTCCAGACACTGCCTTTGAGCGCATATTGGTAAACACGAAAGCTCTATCGTATCGTCGGTCGTTGAAGGATTGGACATCACTGTGGACCCGCCGCAAGATAACGCTTGCCCCGGTACAATCGCCATTGTAAGTGTCATGCTCTCGCATCAGCCGCGCTGCGCGCCGTCCCAACGTTTGAGCAGTCGGTGCGGTCAACTAATCGACGATACATCTAACAAGGAAAGGAAGTTTGGTCGAAGTGGCCTTTTGAAATGAGATGCGTACAGCCTTGTAGAGCTTGGAATGCTGACTCCAAATCTGCCTTCGGTATCTGCTGCGGGCTTCTGGGCGAGGAGTTATGAAGCTTTTTGTGAGTAAAAATCTGAATGCAAGAGTAGGTTAAAATCAGTCGCAACTTTTTTTATATTGATTAATTGGTAGTCAGGTCACTCGGTGCAACAAATAATCTTGATTCAAATATACCAACTCGCTGCTGCCTCATTTGAACGCTGGGAAAAGGTTACGACTGATTTTACCCTATTCTTGCATTCAGATTTTTACTCACAAAAACCTCCATAACTCCTCGCCCAGAAGCCCGCAGCAGATAGCAAATGTAGATTTGGAATTAGCGTCCCAAGCTTTACAAAACAGTGTACATCTCAACTCAAAAGGCCACTTCGACCAACCTTCCTTCCTTTGTAAGACACTCATAAGGCATTGTGACCACTCAGATGTATCGTCTCTGAACACTTCTAACTTACTTCGTTTGAGTTCTCCGCATTTGCTGATGATATATCATCCATAACTTTCGCCAGTTCGCAATCAAGTTGTTTCTGGGTTTCCAGTTGATCTTGAAAACAAGAGCATAGTCTCTAATAGCTCTCAGTAACCATGATATAATAAATACATATGTAGCCCAAACAAAAACAATCACTCCCATATTACGAGGGCTAGAGAATTGAATATTACAAAGGAGTGCAGCTGCAAAAAGTTGAACGTGAGCCTATAACATTTTTTCTTACCGTTGAAAACTTGTTCCCATTGCTCATCCCAGTCTGTCCTCTCTTCATATCCTTTCAGAAGCTCCTTCAACTCTTCAAGCTGACATTTTGATTCAAGTAAATCTTTCTCCTTCGCAAAAATCTCCTCCTCAAGTAAGCCAAGCTTCGATGAGATTCCGTCCTAGAGCATAATTAATATGTAAGGAACACAAGTAAAAAAATATGGTGTTTATCTGAGTCCTACTCACACCACCCAACAGCTCATTCGTTGGTAAAGCCTCCGTGCAAAATGAGCAAAAACTTTAAGTTACACAAACCCTAGGGCGTCTCCAGGAATATGGTGAGATGCAGAGTATATGTGAGGATGCAAATACAGAGGAAGACGGAATAGAAAGAAAAAGCAGGTGGGGTGGCGTGCAACAAAAAATATGACTCGAAAGATACCATTTCTGACTGGAGTTGCTGTTGCCAGTACTGACGTTGTGACAGCAATCTGTTTCTGAGTACGGCCATTTCAAGATGAATGCCAGTCAGTTTTTGACAATAGCTTTCTTTCTAAAGACATTTGAAGCTATATATGACTAACGATAGATAGTAATTCGTAATAGCTTACTTCGCCTTTGTAGTGGGTCAATTCCTCCCGAGAGTGAGTGCAAAGCAGCATCTCTAACGTATGCCGTTTTTCTTCAGCTCTCTTGCTCACAGTGCCTTTTTTCTCTGTTAGTTGTCCGATTAGGGTCTGTCGCATTTTTCTCTCCGCCTAAACATGTAGTTCGAGAAAATGAGACAGGTACAAGAGGTTCGACCTTCTGTGACTCTAGATCTTTCTTCGCTCTAGCAGCAGAACGCTCAAGCTTATGACACTCAGTCTCAACGTTTGAAAGAGATTGGCGAACGTCATCTGAAGAAGTGTGACATACAACAGAGACCTTGCAGAAAAAAGAATGCAACAAACTGGTGGCAGATGTCCTGCTTTGTAGATGTCTTTCGACGCTGTCGAAGTCGGTCGCAGCAGTCTCATATTTCCTGTTTTCACTCACCTAGAACTGCTCGAGTGAGAGTTCGCAACGCACTATGTTTCAACAAACCTTGAGTTCAGGGAGTAATGCTGACAGCTTTTCTACACCAGATAAATCACCCTGCTTTCCAGAACATTTCTGATGCAAGTTTTCAATCTTTGTCTCGTTTTGTTTTACTTAAGATCACAATTAACTCTCCACAGCTAACAAAGTAAGTGAAGAACTGTGCAGTTTTTTCGATCTGGATAAGTCGACTTACTCGAGCACGTGGCAACTTCTAAAGCTTGCTTTTTTCTATTTTTTACTTCTTCAATCCTTCTGTTGTACTCAGTAAATTCCTCTTCTGCGTATGAGACTGTATCCGATAGAACTTGAACTCCGTGCTTAGCTGGAAGAAACGTGTTCCATTTCTTACGTTTATAAACATTCATTACCAGTCTCGAAAATGGCCGAACTACTTTCCAACAGACGTTTTATGTGGTTTTGTGCTGTCGACAAAGCGATATACCTGAAGAAAATAATCACTCGTAGCGAATCTGATGTAACTCCAGTGGTAACACAGCTCAGAACTAGAAAAAATATAAGGCCTTACCTCAAAAACTGATGTAAAACCTAACTTCAAGCCTTACCAAATTAGGATGATCGAAAGTAAAAACAAGAAATCAAAAAGCCTTTAGACTATGCTGTCTACCAAAATCCAACAAAGATAGGGAAACGAGTCATTCATCCTGAATTCGCTGTACCCCTCCTACCATAGGGTATAATTGCACGCACGATTGCAGCTCTGCTCCCCACAACGTGCATGAGTAAGAACGAGGTCATAACATTGATGTTTCAAAAGATAAGTATAAAGTTTCGAAGTTTTTTTTATCGAACTCAAGCCCAACCTCAGTTCGTTGCTTTCAGTCTGTTTCCTGTCTTGCTCGAAAAGTATCTCTCCAGTGTAGTCATCTGTGCAAGCCATCTGGTATTTGCTCAGCTCTTGCCACAATGCATCCTGTTCGCGATCCTAGATAATAGAACATTCTGGAAACTTCTAAAAAACTACTTAAGCTAAAAAACGAGGTGTCTACAAATTTGCAATTCGCTCTTCAGTGAAGCGATTAGAAAATTACCAGCGCAAGAGAAGTCTCGTTGGCTCTTTTCAGCTCGGCGCTGATGCTAGCAGCCATTGTTGTTATCTATTCACTGTGAACACTGAAACATTATAGACTCGTTAAAAATGAGATGTATGCGAGAAATGTCTCAAAATGATCAGAGGGTTATAGTCAACGCTAGGCACGCAGTGCTCAGCGTCGCTTTTTCGATTTGAGCGACTCAAGTTTGTTTCTTGCTGGCTCGTTCGCCAATGGATACCAGCCCCCATGCCCGTATGCTGCAAGTTGGTCCAGCATAAGTTGTTAGGTCATAACGTCTTCTCCTGCTTGTTCTAGAGATGCTTATACTGCACTAATGCCGCGAGCTCCAATAGAGGAAAGAAGACCAGCCAGCTAATCCGGAAGGAATTTGGAAGACATGACCGCGCCTGATCAAGTACAGTCGAGTAGATTTTCCACTTAATATAGTGTACTTGCACAGAAAGTGAAATGAGGTAAAATTTGCGCGCAAGGAGTAGCCACGCCAGTACTGCCGGCATTTCGCGCCCGCAGCTGGCCGGCGCCACAGTGGAAACTGTATGTTTACGCGCAAATTATACCGCATTTCACCTTCTGCGCAAGCATACTATATTAAGCGGGAAATCAATCTACTCGACTGTATCATCGCTTCCACGAATCATGATGAGAACAGATGGTTGGCTAAATTTACGCACTCGCAGCGCTAACGGGCTGCGCTGCATATAGTACGCACTGTCGGAGAGAGCGAAGAGATTGGAAAGAGCAGACAAGCAGGCTGTAGGCGTGACGCAAAGCGCTATACTCGGACTCCCGCCATACCATTTTTGGCCTGACTGGGATTGGGACAGACTGTATGGGTTGTTTCAGACTGCCGCACTGACCGCAGCAGACTGCAGCAGTCCGCACTGACCGCAGCTGACTGCAGCAGACTGCAGCAGACTGCTGCTGACCGCACTGACGCAACGGCCGCGCCGATCCCTGCATTCTTTTTGAAAGAAAACAACCGCGGTTACGTCAAAACACCGTAATTTACGCCCAAGGAGATCATAGGTTCTAATTTCACTCTTCTCAGTCAAACTTTGGCGAGCGTTTTTCTGCTAGTGTGGTTAGCGGTTAGTGCGGTCAGCTGCAGTCAGCTGCAGTCTGCTGCAGTCTGCTGCAGTCAGCTGCGGTCAGTGCAGTCTGTTGCAGTCTGCTGCAGTCCGCTGCAGTCTGCTGCAGTCTGCTGCGGTCAGTGCGGCAGTCTGAAACAACCCTATAGAAGCAGAGTCGTGGCAGCTCAGCGCGTGGCGGTTTCTTGAAGCGAGAGAGCACGAAAATTAATGTTACAACGTGGAGATCAACAAGTTCATCCTTATAGCCAAGAAAAGCCTGCAGCCCGCCTCTATGCTATAGTTAGAACCGAATATTTTTCGAACATTCGTATTTGAATGATTTATTCGAACAATAGAAGTCGAATATTCAGGACAATGCACTTATTCGATTTTTCAAATAGGCGAATAAATGAAAGACACTTTTACTCGAATATTTGTTTATTCGACGAATCGAATAAACAACTTTTTCGAGATTTTATTCGAATATTCGAATAATTTTCGAATAAGTTGTTTATTCGATTCGTCGAATAAACAAATGCTCGAATAAAAATGTTTTTCAATTACTCGCCTATTCGAATAACACTCTAAAATTGCAAAAAGTATTCGTTTTATGTTGAGCTTACATGTGTCATTTCAGAAGCGGGTTTCTCCTTACATTTTTCTCCGAATAACAGAATCTGACCCAGATTTCGCTGCCTTACCAAATTTTGTCCAAGTATATCTGGCACGTGTGGCTTCCACTTGATTAGGGAGTGCATGCTTTTGACCGGAGACCAGGGTCAAGCTTAAAGGCAGGCTCGGCAGATCGGCGACTTTGAAGTATTTATCGTTCTCGATTCCGGAATGAGCTGGCTGTGCTTTGCAGCTTCTGAAGATATTGATAACTAGTAATTCGCTTTTCCGGAGGTGGAAACTGCTGTTTGGGCGGGAAGCGAGAGCGCGCCCTCTAGAGAGCGATTGGCTCGTGGAGTCCAGATGGATGGAGACATCCCACCTTCTCGAATGCAACTGGATTATCTGCTTCAGCAACCAATGGTACTACGAAAGGGCCGGTTTCCGCTTCCCGCATAGCAACTTCCACGTCCAGAAAAGCGAGTTATGTTTATGTATCTTCAAATACTACAAAGCACAGTTTTAGACGCAGCTCATCCATGGGAGTCAAGATCGATGAATACTCCCAAGTGGAAAATCTGCGCCGCTGTCTTTAACACATTAAAGGCAGTGGGTCGGCAGAATGAGACCCGTGGCAAGACAAGGTCACAGGGTAGGAGCCCCATAATGGAACCTATGGGCCAAAGTTCGATCTAACTCTGCCACTTCTAACCCCCGAAATTTCAAAGCGCAAGCAGCGCTCATCTCCTGTCCTCTCCGAACCCGCCCACCCCATGGACGAGTGAACGCGAAGCCCGTCGTGGCAAAGACGCAGAGTCGTTGCGGGACCTCATGCTTATAGCATTAATGCTGCAATTGCGGCTGGCGCTCTGACCGTGGAAATCACTCGTCCATGGGGTGGCGGGTTCGGAGAGGACAGGAGATGAGCGCTGCTTTCGCTTTGAAATTTCGGGGGTTAGAAGTGGCAGAGAAAGATCGAGAAGTGGCAGAGAAAGATCTGTGTTAGAAGTGGCAGAGAAAGATCGAACTTTGGCCCATAGGTTCCATTATGGGGGCTCTTACCCTGTGACCTTGTTTTGCCACGGTCTCATTCTGCCGATCTACTGCCTTTAAAGGCAGCGTAAACCCAAAATCCAAGTTACCCAATTCTCTATACCATGTATGTCTAGGGCCCGCCCAGAAGAGGACCAATGCGTTGGCCCGGTCTCCCAATGTTGCTTCTGAGCGGAGAAAATCTGCCTGATTTTTCTTTCATTCCGCCCCTTTTCTTTCACTCCGCCTCGTTCGGACGAAAACTACGTCAGCGTAAGCTGCAGTTGCCGTTGCAGTTGCTATTGCAATGCTGTTGCAATTGCAGCTGCAGTTGCAACAGTGCAATTGATTTTTGCCGCATCTTTCAGATGACGAATCCACGACAGCATACGCTGCAGTTGCAGTTGCAGCTGCAGGCTGTCATGCAGTTGCAGCTGGTTTTCGCTGGGATGCTGGCGCGGTCGAGCAATTAGAAACTCGCCCTTTCTTTGAAGAGAGGGTCCCGGGAATCGAGGTTCTGGGGACCTTTGGAGGATTTCAATGTCATGACTGTAATCAGGGACACGGGAATGCCCCAGAATGACAAAAACATCGCAGGCGAAATTTTGGGTGCACGCTGCCTCTGTCGAGACGCAGAGTAATTAGATGGTCCGACAGTTTCCACGCCAACTGGGCGGTGCCCAGAATCTCCAGATGAGCTGGCACTCCCCGGGTGCTCGGTGGTCCCCTCCCCATTAATGTCCCCCATTATAATATATATATCAAAATGGGGGACATTAATGGGGAGGGGACCACCGAGCACCCGGGGAGTGCCAGCTCATCTGGAGATTCTGGGCACCGCCCAGTTGGCGTGGAAACTGTCGGACCATCTAATTACTCTGCGTCTCGACACCTCTAATGACCGCGTGCCTATGCTCATTCCATTTAGTAATTTCATGCATATCATGCCTTTCACGTTGTGCTGCTATGCTACCCTTGGCCTGCGTCTCTGACATGCTGGACGTATGGTTAATCAGTTGGAAACATACAACAACATGTCTAATGCAACAACAGGTTTGGAAACCATTCTGGCTATCAGCGTCAGCGCCAACGTAGTGTTGTTGCGAACATGTTAGAAATGCGTGTATGCCAGAGAAGCAGAACAAAGGTTAGCAGCAACTGTGGAAGAGACGGTACGTATGATCGTCCCCACGATTCGTGCAGAGGTGTATTGCAGACTTTGCCTGATAACACAGAAACTTGTTAAACCTCCACGTCATACCATTGTTTTTTGTACTCTCTCGCTATCAAAATCGCCACGCTTTGAGTTGGCAAAACCCCGCCTCTACACGAATCGTAGAGCCGATGATAGATAAGTATGCACGCCACAGGTAAGGAGAAGTTCTGAGGTATCTTGAGTAGTACTGATAGCTCGATTGTCGAACACAGAGCATTAGCTTTCAGAACTTAGACCGCGAAATTAGCTACAGTCTGCCCTAACTGGGATCAATCCGAACCGTCTGCTAAATTTGCGCTCACGCGACGTCAGTACTCTGCCGTGCACCACCGTCCGGAAAGAAGAGATCGAAGAGAGCAGACAAGCAGGCTGTAGGCGTGACGCAAACCCCAGCGACGCTGCCCGCCAATTTTGGCTTGATTGGGGTTGGGGCAGACTATCGTCCATTTAGGGTGTATGCCCGGCTGCACGTCAGGAGGTACGCCGCGCACGGCGGCCGCTCTTCCGCACGCGCCGCGCTCAAATCTTGGGGCCTCCAAGACTCTCCGCCAATAGAGATTCCCGGCGGCAAAAACAGGGGGGTGAGGATGGGGACGGATACATGATTTATGGTATAAGTAAGACCGCTCCGGGAGCGCTGCTGTTGTAATTACGCTGTAATTGCTGAATTACGTTGCGGCGTCGCTCCGCGAAAAATTCGCGCCGATCGTACCTCCTGACCGTCCCCCTGTATGCCCTTCTGAACCGTTCCGTACTAGCGCTGATTACCCTGCCCCAGAGCGGCGGTAATCATTTTGCCTTTCTTATAATCTACTTACTTTTATTTATGTATTAGGCTGGTGCAAAAGTTTTGTCAGTTTTTTCAATCCATCTGCAAACACGCTAGAATGAAGATAAACAAACACTAAAATGCAACCGATGCAGAATTTCTTCCTCTTTCCAGCTGCTAAACTCCCATTGTGTTTCGTTGCAAGAGTGACGAGATATTTGCTGGAAATTGCAACCACTCGTTTTTCCGCCCAACTTTCGTTAATTTTCAAAATTTTTGTATGAGACTTTCGGAGGAGCCCTAATAACCAGCAGATAGGGCAAACCTTTTGCCAACTAGTGCAATCTTTTGTAGCCCTACGGCTTGTCTTTCAGAATTTCTACGATTTATTTTTTTGAGTGACCAAATTTTACATTCAGCCTATTTTAACCTCGTAGAACATAAAATGTTGAACACTTCAGTCACCATTCGATGCAACTTTTTCTCCTCCTGCTAACACCGTCTTTTTTCGCCGGGACAGGCGAAATTTGTGGAAAAATTGCAGTATTTCTCAATTTCAGGAGTGCGCACTGACGTAATCTATGTTTCAATCTTCATAATTTGAAGCGAAAATCGCTCATTTACTTCGTAATGGTCGCGGTATTAATAATCGGGTGTTGAAACCCCAATAGTTTGTAGGTTTTGCAATATTTGGTGCAATAACAGGTTATGCGATTTTCCAAAACACAACACTTTTAGGAAACTATTTAACAAAAATTTGAAAAAGCAGCTAAAAAAGCAAAAAAATTGCATAAATTGGCAAAAGGTTTGCACTATCTGGTGGCTATTAGAACCCCTCCGAAAGTCTCATAGAAAAATTTAAAAAATTAGTGAAAGTTGGACATGGTAAAACGAATGGTTGCAATTTCCAGCAAATACCTCATCATTCTCGCAACAAAACACAACGTGTTTTTAGCTGCTGGAAAGAGGAAGAAATTCTGCATCGGACACAATTTGAAACAATGTTTGTCTTCATTCCAGCGTGTTTGCGGATAAACTGACAAAATTTTTGCCCCAACCTAATGTCTAGGACGCGCTTATGTGCGTGTGAAATAAATGTAAATCTTATATATAAAGCTGAATGTCTGTTTGTATGTATGTCTGTATGTCTGTATGTCTGCATGTCTGTCTGTCTGTATGTCTGTCTGTACGTATGTTCCGAATAGAAAATTCCATTTCTGAAGCGATCGGGGTGCCAGGTTGGTCCGGATCGGTTAAGAAATGGAATTTTCTATTCGGAACATACGGCGGAGCCGGGTAAGCCAGCTAGTGAATAAATAAATCTAACAGTTTTTGAATATTTCGGAGTATTTCAAAGCAGGCGAGTGCAGATTTGCGGTCGATAAGGTCGATATTTTATAAGAAGACAAAAATCGGGGAAGACTGAATTTTTTTACTCTCTATTTCGTAATTTCCTCTTCGCAGTTCTCCAAACCACCGCAAAATTTGCATATGTAAACTGAAAATCTATGTAAGCCACCCACGTTCTAAATCTGATTCCCAAATTAGATCATGTTCTTCTTTGACTCTTCTCTCTAGAAAAGTGCTTTTACCTAACTCGTCTAATTTGAGAGCGCCTGCATCTACAACGACAGCCAAGCTCTCTGACGGCAGCGCCGACCAATCATAGGCGCGCAGTAATTAGGCTGCTAAGGCTAGCGGTACAGAAGGGCCGTCTCCCGTCCATTTATGATGTGGTAAATGCTGGCCTCACTGTCCTTAACTCGCACGCGAGCGGTCAGTAAATTCCCGGCTCTGTTCTATTCCACCCATCAAGGACAAGAGCGAAGAAGGAATCGATGGAAGAAACCATAGCTGGCCCACCGGATGGCTGCAATACGAGAAATCAAGGACAGAGGATCCGGCGTCGTCCAACAGATCAGGGTATGTTTTTACAATATCCGTTGTTTAGCTCAAGAAGAAAAACTTGTGGAGCTTAAAGAAGAATTGCGATTGAACTTCGACAGTGTTGGTTTATGCGAGGCCCCCGAAGTGTCGCTATCCATTTCCGACGCAGATTTTCGGGACCACCTGTACAACAGCGGAATGACAAAGGTAGGACTAGAAGAGGAG